TCAAATGCCATCTCATTTTATTAAATTATATTTCTAATATTTATCTGGTTTCTAATGTAGATGGGTTTCAAGTGGATATTTGTACTATCATTGGCTCTACTTCAAGCTGCATATTACCGGCGCTTGAGGTGGTCTGTTCTCAAGTCCCGTAAGCTGGTCCTTGATGTTGTCAACTAGCTTTTCTTTGGTTTCTCTATTCCAATGTATCTTGGGCAAGAAGATTCAGCAATAATTGCGTTTTGAAGTGATCTAGGTTTTTGCCATGACAAATTGATGGTTCAGTTGTCAATGGGTAATGAGGTGACCTCAAAGTATTTTTCCAAATTTAGGAAGAAATAAGCTACGCCAGCTGCACTATACATTTATTCTTGTTTGAGACCCAAATTTTTGTTTAGCACTACATGCTCCTGCATGGGTTGTTCCCCCTTTAAATACTTAATTATAATCTTCTATTAATTTTATAAAAGGATCAGCGAAGCAAGAAATGTTACTTAGAAGAAATTCAATGGAGGATGAAGTATTTTGCCAATAAGCAATTGAGAGATGAAAACTTGCAGGAGCTAAACAATGTATCCAATTTCTAGTCTAGAGATAATGTTGGTTCTTACCTGCACTTTTGACGTTTATAGACCCTGCTGGAAATTCAAGCACAAAAAGTTCTGGCATCATGGTGTACCAATACCAGGTTTTTTTTTTTTTTTGCCTCAACCAACTAATTCAAAAGTTTGGGGGCAAACCATTTAAACCCGAAGGCTCAGTTCACCATTACCAGGTATTATTACAACAAACTTAGGAGAAATAACAACATACCTTCCATTACCTATTTTCAAAAAAAAAAAAAAAAACCAACATTCCAGAAAAGTTCTATGGTACTTTGTCCAGATTTTAAAATAACAAAAACATAACCTGAGAAAGGCTATCAAGAGAGCCTAGTTCATTGTTTTAAGCAAAGAAACACAAACATTGTACTTCATGCATTGGTTAAATCATCATCAAATTGGTCATCCCAGACAGAATTCATTTTGTGTGAGTCGCGGGGAAAATACCAACCATATGACGCTCGGATGGAACGAAGTCGGTCTCCTGGAGCAACTGAGATATTTTCGACGAGATCACCCTCTAAGGTGAACACAGTGCCTTTGGCTGACCAAGGTCCAAGGTAATATACGCAGTTACGTCGACCACCCCAGCTGGCTGTGGTGTGTAAGCTGGCCAATCTCAAATGAATCATATCACTCATAAACACCGATTGATCACCCAAGTCATCCACCTTCACCCACTGGCTGCTCACGAAGTCTATCCTGTAAACTTCAACCCTTCTATGAGGAACCAAATCAAGCACCACAAGATGCTCATCTGAAGCCGCAAAGGTAACATTAGAACCCAAATGAGGTTTGCCTTTGAGTTGCAGTGGTTCCATAGTAGGAGGATTTTTCAGAGACAAAACTCTTATCTGAGAATCACTAGTTAAAGCATAGATTCTAGCTCCGAAGGCAGTTATATCCTTAATTTCCCAAGGTTCCCCCGCATATGAATAGAAAGTCCATTGGTGATCTCTGGACCGGCGAAACTGCAGATTGAGGTGCATCGAAAAAAGAGCAACAACCAGAAAATCTTGATGAGGCATGGTAGAGGCAAAGATGCAGCCATCACTCATAGTTATGCGGTCAGGGAAAGGCTGAAGTGCCCCAGGAAATTCAAGTGTGTGTCCTGTGATTGGATTTGTTAACATAATATCAGAGAGTTGCATTATCAAGTATCCACTTGAGATCCCAACAATGCTCCTACCAGAAAACTTAGGCAGCACAGTCCTGTATGTGTCTTGACTAGACATGTCAAAGAAGAAACAGGTTTTCCTGGCATGTGATGATATCACCAAAACCAAGGGTGCCTGAGATTCTAAGAACTCACGTTTGGATGACACGGTGATTGACCTCCAATTTCTACAGACACGACCAAATGAGAGGTAGTCTGCAACAGAGAGACCTTTAGCGATTTCTGAGAGAAGCTCACCAGGAAGGTCAGACCATGGGCGCCAAGTGCACTCCTTACGTGCATTCCTCTTGTTGTACCTTTGCTTGGATGTGTTCTTATTGCCACTCTTCAACCTTGTGCCTGCTTTAATCACAAAAAAACAAAAGGAGTTTGTATCTGTGAAAATGTTAAATTGCAAGATATTATGCCATCTTCTTTCGCGAAGTAAAGACAAACCCTATATATTGTTCCTGAGTTTATTGTAGGTAAATATTTGGATATGGTAACTTTACTTATTCCTCTTTATAAGAATGTGAGACATTTTCAAGATTTTTCAATCAACGTAATAGTTGGACATGTAATCATACCACTCTCAAAATTATAAAGTAGGAGATTGAAACACATCATCATGAAGATACCTCTAATTATAAGAAATTTTAATTTTCCTAGTTCCTACAGAATTTTCCACTTGCCCAAAAGCTTTAACAATTGATAACAATCATAGAAAATGGATCAAATACCAAAATATCTTACTACTATGCATCTCCTAAAGAACACCAATATCTATCGAACCTTTATTTCTTTATGGCAAGAGGAAACTCAAGACTAGGACAGTCATATCAGATGTATTATCATCAACCAACGCAAAGGAAACTAGTGCAGAAAGGTTTTTCAGAAATCAAATATGGGGAAGTGAACCAAAGATCTAGGAAGAGTTCAGTGTATCAAGAGCTTATTTATCAGGTCCTTGGGACGATGGAGAGTTGAATAAAAAAGAGGTCAAAGGGGGAAGCCATCAATGCAATTTTTCCCAAAACCAAAGAAAAGACAATGAAAGGATTAGATAATCAGAAATCATATTAGTTCACCAAAACAATTTTACTACAAGTGCAAACTCAAAACTCACTTAAAGGACCGCTAATGAGCTAATCAAGAAGCAGAATTTCAAGATATGATTAAAGTATGAAACACAGAATCAGCAACATAAATGCAATGCAAATTCTAACCACTAAAGATCTTTCCATTCCTATGCTACAGGCAACTTTAGCAGGTAGTAAATCAGAAGGACAAAAAAAATACAAGGAGAAATGATGCCATTAGTTGCCTACGAGATGCATAATATTCAGAATGTTAGCTGAAGCAATGAAATTACGATATTATGCATAATCATAGAAGGTGAAAGCAAACTACTTCTACTTGTTGCTCCATTAGATTTAGGGTTCTGAGGTTAGTCCAGGCTCACTGTAGATTTGTATTAACTTAGTAAGAGTTCAACATAAAGCCAATCTACGCTCCTTCACCATTTTGCCACCTTAAGGTGAAGCAAGTCTAGCATGGCTGTGGTCAACCCAAGCACAATACAGATTTGTATAATCTTAGTAGTTCAAACAACAGCCACACCCTTGAACTCCCATGAGTGAACTTGCAATTTAGATTCCCCTATGAGGGAGTGTTTTACAGCCGAAAATTTACAATAATTACACCAAGGGATCAAAACCTCAAAATTTCGCTAAGCACATTGGTCATAAACTTTGCACGTTACTGATTACATCATGCAGCAGATAAAGACCATAAACTATAAGATATCAGCATACTTCGGAAAAACGTATAACCCAGCATGCTTAGATTGAAGGATGCACAAATCAAGTTGCACTAGGCTAGGTAATTTGAAGCCTAATATAAATAATTGGGTAGCCATGTAAAATTATAAACTAATCACAGAAAAATGCAATATCTTTGTGTGGTTTCTACTCTTTTTGATCTGTTTGCCTTGCAAATAAAAAATAACTAAGTAATGTCTTTACTAAAAAATTATGGAAAACAAAACTCATAAAAGGGCATAAAATAAACACAAAATTACAAAACAGAGTCCAAAATTCAAATTCAATATACCATGTACTACAAAAACTTTACATTAAATTCCTAGTCTTTCTCCTTTGCCAATCTTGCAAAGTTTTAAAATAGGAAAAAATCCAAGTTTTGCAATTATCATCTATTATCTTCTTGACTATAGATGATATATTAATACAGTTTTCAAACAAAATTAGATAAATATTAATGCCATGGTCAAACAAATTTAATCAAAACAACAGAGATTTTTGTGTTTCTGACATGATTAGATTATTTGCAATATTAGTAAGGAAATTTTTTCTTTTCATAAGATAAAGAATTTAATATGTGCATATACAAATAAGAAAAAATAAAACCTGTTGAACAATAGTTACAGATTCATAAATGGTTTAGTAGCTTCGATTGATCATTTTATGCACACCAAAACAAACCAATCTTGATCAGTTTCTTCATATGTGCGAAAGAAACAGATCCAACCAAACCAGGCTATTCGTGTCATTCTGGTGGGTATTGTTATCATTACACACCTCTAGTTAAGCTTAAAATTGATGTGTGAGACACAAATACAAGGTGATAAGGGAGAAATAACATAATAACTTCAAAAATCATTTGAAAACAATTAATTTCAAATCAGATAGCAAAATCCCCAATATTAATAGCCCTATTAATTATGAAACAGAGAGATATAATAATTAACCATTAATAAATTGAAATCACATAGCACCATACCTGATACTGATGAGATCGGCATTCTTGGTTGCTGATGGCAGCCATCACAGTCCTCTACAGCCTTCTTTTCCATGCCTCCTTGCTATCAACCTAATCTATAAACTCCAAACTAGACTATCTGCATCTCTTATATTATAGAAAACTATTGCCTATGACATTTCTCATCAAAACTCTTTGATGAACATGTTGTGTCAAACTATGCATACCCTATTTGACTCATGTCTGCTGCTTTATATATTTAAGTAGAATGTATCACTGATACAAACTATGAACCACATTAGGTAGGTATCTTTTATGATTTTTTTTTTCTTAGCAAAAGAAATTCTTAAAAGATAACTACAAATTATAGATTGTATTAAAACATGTTTACCTTATGCCTCAAAATACATAAAGCACAAGACACGCATCAAATAGGATAAGCATACAAAAGAATATTCGTAAAAGATACCTACCTAATGAAGATCATAGTTTGTATCAAAAGAGTTCTACCAAACACACTCTTATCTTTTATGAATTATTAGACCAACCGGTGAGTGCTAAAAATCTTACTGCAAATTTGTCAAGATGGCAAGTCTTTAAATGCAAAAACTTGAAGGCGCGTCATCCTTAATAAGGAAGGACCCTACAAAGTTTTAGAAATGCATACATTGCCCATACAAATAACAAATTTCATAGTAAGAACATCAAAAAATAATAAACGGACCAACACACAAGTGAGTAATTAGGCTAAAGCTGAACAATCACATTTTTTCTAAATATATCCTTAATGTGCAATACAAAATGAAAACTAATAGACGTCCCGTAGATAAAAACACAACCAGGTAGTCAGAGGAAGCTCAACAATTAAATTTGATAAACATTTAAAGAAAGGCTGGGATCTAGAACTGCATGTGTCATAATGAGTAAATCTCTCTAGTCTATTCCTATATAAAACTGAAATAAAGTTTAGCATGCTTAATTGGGACAATTAAATATGTTTTCAGTTTTCTTAATTACACTTCTACACATAGTAATGAGAAGGTGATAGAACAACCTAAGCAACAAATTTCCTGAGGAGATAAAGCTTAAATGGTTATAGAACAGCCTAAGCAAGAAGATGTGGTGGACGATCCGCCCAGTAACAAACATGCTGGATTCTTAATAGTTAGTGTAACAAACATATTCAAACAAAGTGTGAACTTCTTATTCCATAATAAAAAGATTGAAAGCCTAGTTCGGAGTTTATAAATCTAGGTAGACAGGAAGAAAGGCATGGAAACAGAGACTATTGAGGAATTGCAATGGCTGCAGAGATAATTCTTACTGGATTGATGAGAATGCTGTTGGAAAAATACCTTGAAATCGTCATCATCATCATCATGAGCTTCTTAGGGTTAGATTTCAGCCGATGAATCTGAAGAGGTAATCGGTGCACTTGGTTATGTATGCACAGTGCAGCCATGTAATGGGCCTCTAGGCCCGTACCCGACAGAGACGGGCTTTGACCTAGTTGTTGGGTCTCGGATCTTGTGGTCAACAAAAGCTTCTTCTACTTAGTCAAAGTCAAAGGAAATCGCCCAGAGTAAGGAATATATTCTTATTAATTAAATATCAATACGTCTGGATATTTTAAAATTTAGTATTTTTTAAAAAATTATTTAAATATTTTTAATAAATTCTTTTTAAATATATTTTAATTCTTTTGTTATTATACTTAATATTTTAATTGTAAAAAAGTTCTATTTTTTTCATTCCCTATAATTTTTCTAATACTACGTGACCAAATTTTGTTAAGGCGAGGGAAAAGTTTTGTTGGCCTAAATAAAATACATATTATATATATATAAAAATTAGTGTGTATCAATTTTATTTTTTTAAACTATAGTCTTAATTTTTATTTAGAAACTAAAATTTAAATTCGAAATTTAAAAATTCATTCTATTAAATATTGATGTCTGAATTTA